TTTTTTTTTTTTTTTTTTTTTAAGATTTTATTTACTTATTTGACAGAGACAGCGAGAGAGGGAACACAAGCAGCAGGAGGGGGAGAGGGAGGAGCAGGCTTCCTGCCGAACAGGGAGCCCGATGTGGGGCTCCATCCCATGACCCTGGGATCATGACCTGAACCAAAGGCAGACGCTTAACAACTGAGCTACCCAGGCACCCCAGGACTAGGAATTTCTTTAAAATGTCTTTTTCTTTCCTTAAGAAGAGAAAAAAAAATTTTTTTTAATTTCTTATTTACTTGGGGGGGGAGGGGCAGAGGGAGAGGGAGAAACTCAAGCCGACCCTGAGCACAGAGCCCAATGCAGGGCTTGATCTCATGACCCTGAGATCATGACCTGAGCCTAAACCAAGAGTTGGACACTTAACTGACTGAACTACCCAGGAGGCCCTAAACAAGACTGGGAATTTCTGATGGGAAAAATGATTTTACTATTATTACAGGAGAGATGAGAGGAAAAATCCTCTGACGACATTCTCTCTATGAGAGCAGGATGTGGAGGGACAGCTGGATGAGGTAAGACTGATGGCCCCGGATGCCCCACAGACCTGGGTGATTTCCAAGAATTCTGTGAGTCCTTTTGAAGACTGGGGGTGTGGGGAGAGCCATGTTCACAGGTGAATGGCATTTGAGTTCACTGCACCTCCCTGGGCAGGGACGGGGACAAGCCTTTGAGGGCAGGGTATGGCTAGGGTTGCTAGGGGCTGTTCACCAAGACCACCGACCCAGGTGAGGAGGACGAGAACTTTCGGTGCAAAGCCCCTGGATGGTAACAAAAACGCAGACTCAGCCATAGCCAGGAGGCATGGTCAGAAGGGCAGGGGCACTTGGGAACTCGGGGTGTGTGGGCTTTTAAATTGGGGGTAGACATAACAGGTTAGTCTAAGATGCCTTTGTTGAGACCAAGAGCTGGGAAAGGGCGCCATACCCTCTCAGTGACATAGCAGACAGGTCATCTACTCGGCTCTGCTCCGCAGAGGCCACTGACCACCCACCAGAAGGTCCTACAGGGCATCACCCTCACCCCTCCCTAGTCCTCCTCACACAACCCAGGGGGCTCGGCTGGCGTGGCAGCCAGAACACGGAGCTGCCACCACACAGCGCGTGGGCCTGCAGTTCACTCCGCTGTCTTTGGAACCTGAGGCGTCGGCTGCAGGAAGCTGTGAGCAGAGGCCGGCAGGCCGGGTGCCTCAGGAGGCAGAGGCTACAGCCCCGTGTGGCTCTACCGGGCGCATGCACCCTCCACGGGGCCTGATCCAAGCACGTACTGGGCTACTCTGCAGCCGCAGTGGGACTGCTGGTGGAAGCAGGGTCCCTCTGTGACCCCAAAGACACCGCTGGCTCGCATCCCCCCTACCCCAGGGGCTAGGGCACCTCCTACCAGAGCCCGCCTGTCCCCTCCCTCCCTGCCTGCAACAGGCTAAACCACCAGTCTGAGGTCAGGACTCTCCTGGAAATACGAGGCCTGGCAGGATCTAGTTCATTTTTTAACAAGATGTTTGTTTTTGTTTGAAAATAAAGAATTCTTGTGATGAGAACTCCGGATTTATGGTCTGAACTGCTTGCCACATGTGACATACAGCAGCGTTCCCTCTGGCCGGCATGCTGCCCATCACACTGGTACTTCTTTATCTTCTAACTGCCAGGCAGTAAAACGAAGCCTGCGCCCACTCTTCCCACACAAAAGCTGGACGTGCCCATGATGGAAGCAAAGCGACAAAACTGCAGCTAATAATCTGGCCCCCAGACTACGGGAGACATCCTGCTCTGGTGAGCAACCCTAAGCGTTCATCTGGTGCCTGTTTTCAAATAAAAGCAGGATTGGGATACGCCCTCTCCCTAGTCTGCGGTTTCCGTGTATTATCTCATTAAAGGAGTCCTCATCCACAAACACACCTGCTCTTCCGCAGACGCCTGCCCCCGCACCCGGCTGAGTACTGAGCACTTGCAGGCGTGCACCCCAACGGACGGAACCAAGGCCTTGCTGCCCCGACAGCCACGCTGCTGCTCAGTGCTCTGAATCGTCAGCAGCGCGCACTGGATATCTGCTCAGCTAAAGACCCTCCGGAGAGGCCTTCCAGGGAACTCTCTGTGCGGGGGAGGCCGTGAGCTGGAAAGGGGCCGATGGCAGTCAGGGCCCGACGCCTGGGGTCCAACAACAGGCAAGGCGACCCTGGGCCACCACGGCACCTCCAGGCCATGCTGACTGTCCCAGCAAGTCGTCTGGCTCAGGCACCTGCGCTTCCGAGAGTGGCCCCCCGCCCCTCACCCCGCCAAAGTGCAGCTGGGACAGTGGGCGCCGCTCAACTTACTCAATGGGGAACCAGTCGCCGCACAGATGCTTCACGGTGTCTATGTCATCGTGGCAGAGGAGGCGTAGGCTGACCTCGCTGAGGGCGCTGGACGGCACCACCTCTGTCATTCACACCTGCAGGGAGGGAGGCGGCGTCAGGAGGGCAGCCGCGCTCCGTCACCAGCCCACGGAACCGGGCACTGTCACCGCACGCTACTTCCTCCTCCTCTTCTCATGCTCACCTGTGAGGCAGGCAAGACAGGGAAGCTAGTCCCCCACAGACAGACGTCTCCTCAGTAACTTAGCACAGTGTCTCTTGCCACAGCCCTGAGCAACAGGTGGCAGTCATCCCTGCACTGCAGATGAGGAAATGGGGTGCCTCTCCCTCCCTCTCTGCCACTGCAGAGAGCACCCCTTCCTCCCACTTCGCCCCACACCCCCGCCTCTCCCGACCGGGTCCCGTCTGGGGCAGCCTGGTGTGGGGCCACAGTTGGGCTGGATTTCAGCGGAAGTGGCACCAGCCGGCGGGGCTGTTTCTCCTCCCCGACTCAGCCAACAGAGACTCGTGGGCAGGGAGACAGACCATGAGACACGCCAAAGTTCAAATCAAGGGTCATGAGTTGCTAATAATTCTTTTATTTTTAAAAATATATTACTTATTTATTTATTTTACAACGGATCCTGCATTCTTATTTTTCTTTCAGCAACCTCCATGCACAGCCTGCGCCCGACCGCGTGACCCTAAGATTGAGAACCGGGCGGGCGCGCCACCCACAACTCTTCTGAATCAGGAGGGCGTGTTCAACCCAGGCTGCTGATGGGGCAGCCTGTTTCAGTTAAAGGCAGGCAGGTGGAAAGGCTGGGCTCCGACAAAGCACCTGCACCCCCAGGATTTAATGACTACAAGAAAGCAGAACCTGCCACCTCGGGTCTAGCAGCCCCTCGAGCCCAGCCTCTAACCGCGATGTGAAATTCGCTAATCACTCAGGGATCCCCCTAAAATGCTGGGTCCGGACCCAATCGAGCCTCCCGCCTACATGTACATAGGCTTCAGTTCAAGGGCACCATGATGCGCAACAAACATGGAATGAGGGGCATTCTGCAAGACAACTGGCTGGTCTCTTCACAAGATAAAGGTCATTTAAAAAAAAAAAAAAAGAAAAAAGTACACTAAAAGAAGTGAGGAGACCTACCACCGAATGTGATGTGTAAAACCCCACCGGGAAAAAGAACAAGTCAAAATAACCTTCTGAGAAAATGGAAACACAGGCTGGACAGATGATGTTATGAAGCTGTTACTGAAGGTATTGGACAAGGAACTGAGTAACTACGTAGAGTCTTGGGAGTGAGATGTCCTGAGGTCTGAAACTAACTTTAAATGGCTCAAGAGAGGGGCACCTGGGTGGCTCAGTGGGTTAAAGCCTCTGCCTTCGGCTCAGGTCATGATCCCAGGGTCCTGGGATTGAGTCCCGTATCGGGCTCTCTGCTCAGCGGGGAGCCTGCTTCCCCCTCTCTCTCTGCCTGCCTCTCTGCCTACTTGTGATCGCTCTCTCTCTGTGTCAAATAAGTAAATAAAATCTTTTTTTAAGAAAGGCTATTTCTTGTTTTGTCTTTCTTTTTTTCCCTTTATTTTATTTTTATGTTTCTTAAATTCCACATACGAGTGAAATCATGAGGTATCTCTGTCTTTCTCTGACTGACTTATTTCCCTTAGCATGATACTCTCTGGCTCCATCCATGTTGTTGCCAATGGCAAGATTTTGTTCTTTTTTATGGCTGAATAATATGCCATTGTATGTATATAAAAGTCTATTTCTTGGGGCACCTGGGTGGCTCAGTGGGTTAAAGCCTCTGCCTTCGGCTCAGGTCATGATCCCAGGGTCCTGGGAT